TTGTACAGTTTCATCCATATAAAGTAAGCTCGACAATTTCTTTTATTAGGAACAAAATTCCTAGCACCGCCTTCAAACAGAAATTGAACTTTGCAGTTTAACCTACTAAAATTTAATGGGTTATAAAAGTTCATATTAAAAATATATATATTTCATATGTATATTTATATAAATAACTATATTTTTCTACATTTCAGGATTATTTATTTGTATCTTTCCAAAATAATTCAGTAACAAAAAAACAAAAACCATATTGCATTAATTGAATGATTTCCGTACCGATTAACAAACTGGTACTCAGTAACCTTAGGGGCGTCTATGTTTATCATAGTACCATTAATGCACCCTGCGACTTAAGGAAATCGACCAATGTTGAAAAATTGTGTGGAAATATTTTGCGTAAATTCCGGCCAACAAATAGCTTAATCCATCAATTTGTTCATCACGGCATTTGGCATCCGATGGATTCCTCTACATAGCGCTAATTTGTGGACCCCATGCTTTTGACCACGCCATTATTATAGTTTGCTTCAATTGTTAATAAAATTTTTTCAATTTGGCTACGAAATAGGCAAAATTTTTCTACTAGACCAATATGTAAACTGCAGTTGATTTCTTCTTTTATGACACGCCTTTTATTATTTGCAGACTGTCCTCTAATAAATTTAGTATTTCAAATCGAAGCATTTTTTGTGTCAATATTTTATCGAATCACGTGTTAAAGCATTGATTAATTCATTCAGACTGAATAAATGTAACTTATCGCTGGTATGATAGGTAAAATTATTTTTAGCAAAATAATGCTAAAGTTAGCAAAATGAAAAATGACAAGTGATAAATACAAATTTTTGATGCAACGAAATGCTAATAAATTTTGATAATTTACATAACTTATCACTTATCCGCTAAAATCTTTTCGCTAAGCATTTTAAATTTTGGTGCAACGGTTATCTATGATTTTGCGTGATATTTTACTTATCAATACTCATTTGAGTGACTTTTCCTTATCATTTTGGTGAAACACATACCTTTGCGCAAGTTCGATAATTTACTAAAATGCTAATCATAATTCGTTGGTGCAATAGGGCCCAGCTAATTTCTTTGCCTTACACGTATTTTGTTTTTTGCTTTTACTGCTTTGACAGCACACCCATCAAAAGCAAAAACAAGATACGTTGGGGCCAAGGCGAATTAATGTAAGGTGATAGCAGGAGTACGAAAACAAAAAATTACATGTATTTTGTTTTTGCTTTGGCGGCATAAACTGTCAAAATCTGTAAGAGTGTGTGTAGAAATTCAAACAAAAATTTTCAATTTGATATCAGAAGCCGTACGGCGAAACACATACACAAAATCAGCTGAGCTAGTAACACCACCTTATATAAATTCGCCTTGGTTGGGGCCAATTTAAATTTTGACACTTTGTATAAATTCGCCTTGGCGGCCTACATACGACACCAATATTCAGAGAATTTTAAATTTTTATTTTAATATCGGTATTTGGGATATCGAGTCTTTTTATTCCGATATTAGTTGGAACCCGATATTTTTACAGCGATACTTTAACTTAGTACCAAATCGATACTTTCGATTCGATATCGTGTCTCTTCTTAGATTTTGCAGATATAACTTTCATTTTCGGAACATAAATTCTTCAGAGCAGTGGAAATATTATTGTGTAAAAGTTTTATATAAATTCGACAAAATTTGAGCATTTTAAGGCAAACAATTGTTGAAAAAATAGCTAATTTTTTATTAGCAAAATGCTCGAAAACCGCTTGAATGATTTTGGTTTTGGTTTCTTTAATACAAAATATAAGGTTTTTCCTTTCGTTTGGTATATTGGAAGTAGTGGATGATATCTTCTAATGGCTTTATTCATAAAAACAAAATTGATTTAAAGGGCTTTATAAAGTGAAATTTTCATAAAATTTTTGTATTTATAAAGCAGTTAAAAGTGTGTGTTAATTTGATTCAATTATATGTGCATAAATGATTTTTAATACAAAATCACTTCATCTTTCTGGAAACATGTGCTTGCGCTGCAAGTGAGCGAGGAGACAAAAAGTATGTGTGTGTTTCGACTTTTGAGTAAAAGATTTTGCAGCTCCGGGGAAATATTTATAATCTAATCGCGGCTTATGTACATATGTACATACATACGCGCATATGTTGATTGGAGTTAATGTGGATCTGATTCTCTTTTAGTAATCTATGTATTGAAATATCAATGCATAATACCCGAAAAATTTTTGTCTTATCAGATCTGTTATCAGATCGTTCGGTTTTACAAAATGAGGTATCAAATTAAAAGGCTTGGCCTGTTGATAATAACGTTTTATTTTTTCAAAAAGACTTGCTACCTGTTAAAAAATTTATTTCAAATTATCTATACGTTCAACCAATTATTACAGCATAAGTATCGATCGAAATGGTTTTTAAAAGGCTTTATTTCTTAATTATATGTGTGTGGGTTGCCACCTATTTAAAAAGTTAAATTGAATATATGAGACATTCTTTTTCATATCGGATACCATATTTCAGAAATGTCACACTTTCGATTGGCTCCAAATTTTTTTATGGGTTCTATACATGAAATAAGCTAACACGTGTTCGAGGAATTTTTTTTTGCTTTTTTCCTTGGAAATATGATCTGCCAAAGTTTGCATTTTTTCGTGATTCTGACTAATCATGTACTTCTTCAAATCGTTATATCTCGGTCTCTGCTCATTGTAGAGACTTCATCTTAACGTCGTTTTAAAGCTAAAGAAACGGGTTTAACATTTCTATATATAAGATGGTCAAGATTGTCCTAAAGCTAACTTAGCTATTAACAGTTGAACTTTTTGAGGTTGATTTGCATAGTGAAGACCAGTAAATTAAGGATTTTAAATTATACCATCGTATTCCCCGTTTAATTCTCTATAAAAGACGCGGTTAAAAAAATTGGGGGTTTTCAAGAACTATTTTTAAAATATTGTTCTTTATGACGAGATGGTTTATTTTGTGAGAATCAAAAATTTTTTGTAATTTCGAAACTTGTGTTGAGATATATTTAGTAAGGTGTTAAATATCGAGTTTGGCTCATATGCAATAGGTCAAATAAGCTACTACAATATGGATATCAATAAAAATTGCTTTGAAGAAACTTTATTTCCAAACCACATGTAGGAGGATTGCCACCAGATTTAAAAATTAAATTCAACTTGAATTAACGGAATTAGAAAATTTGAATATGTATCACAATACAAGCGTGCTTTGAAAATACTTTGAACAGGGTTACCACCTGTTTCTTTTTTCTTCTTTTTTGGCGCTGTAACCGCCTAAGCGATTTTGGCCGAGTTCAGCAAAGCACGCCAGTCATTTCTCCTCTGTGCCAACTGACGCCAATTGGAAACGCCAAGTGAAGCCAAGTCCTTCTCCACCTGTTCTGTCCACCGCAGTGGGGGCCTCCCTCTTCCAGCAGAGGAAGCGGGTTCCGAGTTGAAGACTTTCAGAGCTGGAGCGTCGGTGTCCATTCGAACGACATGACCAAGCCAGCGGAGCCGCTGTCTTTTAATTCGATGCACTATGTCCATGTCGATGTACAGCTCATACAGCTCATCGTTCCATCGTCTGCAGTACTCGCCGTCGCCAACGCGTAAAGGCCCGTAAATCTTCCGCAAAATCTTTCTCTCAAATACTCCAAGAGCCGCCTCGTCGGATGTTGTCATTGTCCATGCTTCTGCGCCATATACCAGCACGGGCATGATGAGTGACTTATAGAGCGCGGTTTTCGTACGTCGAGAGAGGACTTTACTCCTGAATTGCCTACTCAGTCCAAAGTAGCACTTGTTGGCAAGAGTGATTCTACGTTGGATTTCAATGCTTACATTATTATCGGTGTTAATGCTGGTTCCCAAGTAAACGAAAATCTCTACCTTCTCGAAATTGTAACTGTCAACAGTGACGTGGGTGCCAAGGCGCGAATGTGCTGACTGTTTGTTTGATGACAGGAGATACTTCGTCTTGTCCTCGTTTACCACCAGACCCATTCGCTTTGCTTCCCTATCCAACATGGAAAAGGCAGAACAGACTTCGCGGTTTTTGTTAGCGATGATGTCGATGTCATCGGCATAAGCCAGCAATTGCACGCTCTTATAGTAAATTGTTCCTGATTTTTTTTTTTACCACCTGTTTACGAAAGTTAAATATGACCTAAACTATACGTTAAATGAATTACCACAATATGGATATCAATCAAAGTGGCCTTGATACAACTTTGTTTCTAAACTGCACCCCGTTTACATAATCAAGTTCAACTTAAATTAAGGCAACTAGAAAATTTAAAAATGTTTCCCGATACCATCTAAATGGCCTTGAAAGACCGTTATTTCCAAACTGCATGTAGAGCTTGCCACCTGTTTGCAAAATGAAGATCAACTTAAATAAAGGCTTTTAGGGACTTGAAATATGTATCCCGATATAAGTGCCACACGAAAGAAGTTATGGTTTGGAAATATTTTGAAGAGGGTTGCCACCTGTTTACGAAGTTAAATTCAATGTATGCAATAGGTAAATGAATTACTACTACATATATGGATATCAAAATGGCTTTGAACTTTGATTTTCAATAATTTCTTTGCATTCGGTGTTGTACAGTTTCATCCATATAAAGTATGCTCGACAATTTCTTTTATTAGGAACAGAAATTCCTAGCACCGCCATCAAAAAGAAATTGAACTTTGCAGTTTAACCTACTAAAATTTAATGGGATAAAAAAGTGCATACCTAAAATATATCTATTTCATATGTATATTTATATAAATAACTATATTTTTCTACATTTGTAGTATTCTTTTGTACACGAGCAGCAAAAGAACACTCCAACTCGGTTGAACTTGTCTTGGCAGCACTGGTGTGAATTGTCAGAAAATAACAAAACAAACAAAACAAAATGAACAATTGCATTGGAAATTTGGTAAATATTTGAGAGTTAAATAAAATCTTTTTTTTTTATAGGTTGCGACAATTTTGGCCGAAGATCAAAGCGATTTACGCCGCATCCGCTGTGCTCTTTCTAGTGGGTTGGAAATTAACATTAATCAGTTTTTGGAGCGTCGCAGTTATTGAAGCTACTGGTAATACAAAGAATGTCCTTGGGTTGGTTTTCATGTCCACATATGTCAGATTTGTGGGGTACATCTACATTCCATGACAATCTTCGATGTGGAATTCTCACAATTGAAGTGCTTTAAAAGCCGCCTATTAGAAAAAATATTGTTACCGCATGCAGATCTGGACGAAAGTCGATTATCTATCCGGTGGTGGAAGGTTGCGAATAAAAATTCGTTTTTATGTACATTTGGTACGTAAGTAACACGGTTACTTTTAGGCAGTTGGCAAACTTATTTGGAGTAGCGCCATCGGCTGCATGGTCAACAGTACGTCGAGTCACTGGATTTTTAATTTCGATCAGCCACGCCACATTAGGTGGCCACAAGATGCATATATGCATGAAGTTGTGAATAGCTTCGAGCAAAAAAAAGGTATACCCGGTGTTATTGGAGCAATTGATTGTACGCATATAGCTATAAACGCACCGAAAGAGCATAAGGAGAACTATTTTGACCGGAAGAAAACATACAGCATTGTATTGCAAGCGGTAGTGGATGCTAATAAAAGTTCATTAACATAAGTTGTGGTGAACCGGGATCCATGCATGATTACCGAGTATTAAGACGATCTCGAATCTATGAACTGGCAGAAACGCGTTTCGAAGAAATGTTTCCGAATTCATCCTTCATTATCGGAGATTCAGCATACCCTTCAAGCAACTGGCTTGTATCCCCCTATAAAGATTATGGGAATTTAACGGAAAGTCAACGAAAATTTAATAAGTTACATTCTTCTACGCGCATAATAGCCGAGAATGCGTTTGGGTAATTAAAGGGTCGCTTTCGGAGATTGCTTAAGTTTACTGAACAAATTGATTTAAAAGCTGTGACGAACGTAGTAGCCGGCATATATGGTTTACATAACATTTGCATCTCCATGGATGATTTATGTGAGAATAATGAAGTAAATTTTGAACAACTTGAGGAGAATATCGAAGAACCCAACCAGGACGGGCCTCTTGACAGAAGAGAAGTTCTGTTCAATCACTTGAGACGACAAAACAAAATATAATTGTTTTAACTATTTATGTAAGTGTCACATTATTTAAATAACTAAACATTTACCTTTAAACTAATAAAATTATGTTATTTGTATTTCCGCTCAAGACTAACATCACAAACCCATCTTCATATATTTAAATGTAATTCATTATGCGCAATAATCGGTGACCTTAAACACTAGGAGAATTAAAAAAAAACATTTCTGCCATCCGAACAGGTATTTTGAACATCCAAAAATAGAAAAACTATGAAATTTTAATTTTAAATTATATTTCAGCTGTTTCGGCTTACTGTTACCGAAATTAATAAAAGTCAAAGCTTTTTAGCTGTAAATTTGTTCCGGTGACAATGGTGGATGGTGCTATGTTACCACAGTCAGTTAGTGCTTTTTCTTAAAAACGAAAACTACAAATTTTTTCTTTAAAAAACGAAAGTTAATTTTTTCCCTTTTCACAGCAAATTAATGCCGTAGTTAACTTTTCCAATTTCAAAATTTACTTACGTTTTAATTTTCAAGTAAGCGTAATCTGTCTATTTATTCCACTTGTTAAATTCATTTTGGACATTATGTATTGTACCTTTAAACTATAAAAACTGAAATAAAATTAACGTAACTTCAAGACAAAAATAAATTTCACGAAGTTATTTTTATTAGAAAATGTAAATCTAAGACCAAAAACTTAGATACCATAAAAGTCGTTTCAAAACAAAGCAAATGTTTAAATTAAAATCACATTTTTTACATAAATTCAAGCGTGAGTTACGAGATTATTCTTATTAGAAAATGTAACTTAAATACTAAAAACTTAAATAAAATTAAAGTAGTTTCAATACAAAACCAATGTTAAATTGAAAATCACATTTTTTCATACATTCAAGCGTGAGCTACGAAGTTATTTTTATTACAATATTTAAGTTTAAGTCTAAAACCTTAGATAAAATAAAAGTAATTTTAAAACAAAAACAAATGTTAAAATTAAAATCACATTTCCTACATAAACTCAAGCGTGAGTTACGATACTATTAGAAAATTTAACTTAACGACTATAAAAACTTAAATAAAATGATAGTAGTTTCAATACAAAGCCAATGTTAAAATTAAAATTTCATTTTTTTTAAACTTTTTTTATTAGAACATGTAATGTAGACTACAAAAACTCAAATAAAATCAAAATTATTTCCAAACAAAAATTGTTAAAATTAAAATCACTTTTTATCCATAAAATCAAGACTATTCTCGTTAGCATCAATAAACGAATTAAAATTAAAACTAGAAAATGTAATCAAGAAATGTAGAAAAAGTCTGCGTAGATACATCATTTATTTTTTAAATATTCACAATATTTTGCATGGTAAAACTTGTTTGCTATTTTTTTTATAAAAAATATGGATCATACTTAAAACGAAATCATATAGTTAAACCAAGGTTTCAAGCTTTATACAAATTTAAGGAAAATTCAACGAATTTTAAACTATTTAATCAGAATTAAAAAACAAATTAAGTACACAGTTTCTTAGCCCCTAAATTTCCGCACTTTATAATACTAAAATTTAATTCTGATTAAAATGTTCACAATTTTGATGAAAATTTGTTGAATTTTCCTTAAATTTGTATAAAGCTTGAAACTTTGGTTTAAATATACGATTTTGTTTTAAGTATGATCCTATTTTTTTTTAATAAAAAAATAACAAACAAGTTTTACCGTGCAAAACATTGTGAATATTTAAAAAGGAAATGATGTACGCAGACCTCTTCTACTATGTGTAAGTGTTTTATTACTTAATTATTTAAGAAGCACGACTCACAAAATGATTTGAATGTAGTGTAACGTTGACTACTAAGTTTTGGACAATAATTCCCATGAATGCATTGTAAAGTGGTAACAAAAACGAAGTTCGAAGTGGCCAGATTCCAGTGACAGGCCAATATTAGCCATTACTATTCTTACCACTTCATTGAAAAGAACATTCTACATTCAAAATGTCGTGATAAAAATAGTAATGGCTAATATTCGGCTGTCACTCGATCTGTCCACTTCGAACTTCATTTTTATTATCACTTTACAATGAACTCATGGGAATTGAGGTTCAGAATCTTGGAGTCGCCGTTACACTATATTCGATACATTTTGTGAATCGTCCTTCCTAAACAATAAAGTAATAAAACAATTAAATTTTGTTTATAATATTTTCCAATAATTGGACTTTTTTCAATTCCACTTCCCTGTCCTTTTCCCATTTTTGACGAAGCAGCTCCTGCGTTGCTGCGAACTTTTCTTCCCGTTGTTTAATTTTTTCTTCAAATGCTTTTTTCTTTAGCTTCAATTTTTCATCATAATAAAGTTCGCGCGCAGAACGTTTTCTTTTAGCAGGAGTAGGAAACATTGATTGAGATATTAAGTGGAGNTCAATTTTTCATCATAATAAAGTACGCGCGCAGAACGTTTCCTTTTAGCATGAGTAGGAGACATTGATTGAGATATTAAGGGGAGTGGCGACCGTGGCAGCGACGATGATGTTAAGGGGAGTGCCGACTGGGATAACGGCGATGACGTTGTGGAGTTGGACGGAGGTGAGGGTGCTGGTATGGGCGAACTCTCCTCTAACATTTGTACTGGGCCATCGCCCAATTGCAGCGTATGGGAGTTAGATATAATAGGGCTGCTCCCAAATATCTCCTCCATTAGCTCCATGTACGGGTCGAAGAAGGAGAAGAACCTGTGCGGTTATTGTTGTTGCGTGCTGCCTTATAGGCTTGTAGCAAAGTGCGCATCCTCCCCTCCAAACACAGCGGTGTTCTCCCAGAATCCTGANGGAGAAGAACCTGTGCGGTTATTGTTGTCGCGTGCTGCCTTATAGGCTTGTAGCAAAGTGCGCATCCTCCCCTCCAAACACAGCGGTGTTCTCCCAGAATCCTGAGAATACAATAATTAAGTGTTTATAGAATTAATAATCAGTAAAATAATTACATACCGTAATACCCACGGATATCATATCCTCAAGTGTATTAGCGTATGCCTGACGCTTTTTCTTTGGGTGCTCAAATTCGGCTTTGCGAGCCAAGTAGCACCGCAAAAAACCATCAGATTCCTCCTGTGTCCACCTCCTTCTTGTAGTTTTTTCCATCCTTAAAATAAACCAAAATTTTTTTCAATATTTCGGAAATAAATAGATCATTTAAAATTTTACTTACCGCTGCTCCATTTTTCGTCTTTCTATTTTCCTATCTTCGTCGAAATATTTTGACATTTGAATGGAAGCCTTCCAATTTCCTTCCAAAATCATTCACAATGGCGCAATAATTGAACTTGGCAGCACACCGATTCAGGTCGTATAACGTTATACGAGTTGAAATTAACTCGTATATATTACACGAGTTGTGTTGTTGTTTCGCATGTAAACTGACATTGTAGCTCGGTTGCAAAAGAATACACATATTTAAGGATTATTTATTTGTATCTCTCCAAAATAATTTAGTAACAAAAACACAAAAACCATATTGCATTAATTGAATGATTTCCGTACCGATTAACAAACTGGTACTCAGTAACCTTAGGGGCGTCTATGTTTATCATAGTACCATTAATGCACCCTGCGACTTAAGGAAATCGACCAATGTTGAAAAATTGTGTGGAAATATTTTGCGTAAATTCCGGCCAACAAATAGCTTAATCCATCAATTTGTTCATCACGGCATTTGGCATCCGATGGATTACTCTACATAGCGCTAATTTGTGGACCCCATGCTTTTGACCATGCCATTATTATTATAGTTTGCTTCAATTGCTAATAAAATTTTTTCAATTTGGCTACGAAATAGGCAAAATTTGTCTACTAGACCAATATGTAAACTGCAGTTGATTTCTTCTTTAATGACACGCCTTTTATTATTTGCAGACTGTCCTCTAATAAATTTAGTATTTCGAATCGAAGCATTTTTTGTGTCAATATTTTATCGAATCACGTGTTAAAACATTGATTAATTCATTCAGACTGAATAAATGTAACTTATCGCTGGTATGATAGGTAAAATTATATTTAGCAAAATAATGCTAAAGTTAGCAAAATGAAAAATGGCGAGTGATAAATACAAATTTTTGGTGCAACGAAATGCTACTAAATTTTGATAATTTCATTTTCATTTTCATTTTCATTTATTTGTTTATTTAAGTACATTAGCGCATTAAGAATTAAACTTTTATTGCGCAATACAAATAACGGATTACAAAATATGTATCAAAATAAAATAAAAATTACAATTATATAAATATAACTATGTATGCATATGTAAATATTAACTTAGAAAAGCCAAATAGAAAAATAAATAAATAAAAAAATTTATAAAAAACAAGTAAGAACGTCTAAGTTCGGGCGGAGCCGAACATTAAATACCCGGCGCAAGTATTAAATATATGTTTTCCACCTTTCCGAAAGCTACCGCTACATGATAAGCCGGGGTGTATACATTTTAAGTAAATTAGCGTCCTTAAATTTCGAAATATTGAAATTTCAAGCATATCTGAAATTTACCGTTATATGAAAAGCGGCCTCAATTTTAGTCCGATTTCAACAATTTTCAACGGTTTGCTTTTATGTGGCAAGCACAATAACCATACCGAGCTTGGTACAAATTGCTAGAACGGTTAGCGAGATACATATATGTGATCACAAGTGGGCGGTGCTACGCCCATTTTCCAAAATTTTGTCATAAACGTATTTCTTGGTAAAGAATTGTTGCAATCATCAATTTTGGATAAATTAGCTTCAATATTTACTGATTTATCGAAGATTTTGTATTTCTCGAAATTACCGTTATATGGGATGTGGGCGTGGTTATTGTCCGATTTTAGAAATTTTCGGCCATTTGGTATGCTGTACCAGGACCAACAACTGTGCCAAGTTTGGAAGAAATTGGTGCAGCGGTTACCAAGATATACACATGTAACCATAAGTGGGCGTGGCTACGCCCATTTTCCAAAAATTTACAATATTCATGTTTTCCGTCTGAAACTCATTGTAAGTATCAATTTTGAGTGAATCATCTTCAGTAGTTACTAAAATATCGCAGTTTTCGTATTTCTTAAAATTACCGTTATATGGTAGGTAGGCGTGGTTATTGTCCGATTTCATCCATTTTCAATACCATCCGTCCTACGCCCAAAAGAAGTTCATGTACCAAGTTTCGTTAAGATATCTCAAGTTTTACTCGAGTTATCGTGTGCACAGACGGACGGACGGACGGACGGACGGAGAGACAGTCACCGCTTAATCGATTTCTCTTTTCATTCTGATCATTTATGTATACTAGGGCGGGTCAATTTGTATGGATTAACTTTTTCGACATTTTTCCTAGCATATTCGGATTCTTCAGAAAATTCTAAGAAAAAAATTCCTCCAGACCATAGCTCTAAAGTCAATTTCGAGCCTGCGCATTTTTAAAAGAAGATATCTATAT